AGAAATGCTTGCCTCTAGGGAATTATGTACAAGTTATCCAAAACTGTCAGAAATTTTAAGATTGCACATGATTTCAGACTCTATAAAGGAAACCATGAGAGTCTTAGAAGTTACGATCTCTTAGAGCAATAATCACACTTCTAACATGTACTCACTCTATGCAATGTATCTAGTGTTAAAAAATATATACATGTACGTTTAGCTTTTGATGATATGTAACTCATGTACTTGTTGCTTCTGGGATCAGAAGTTTTAAAAGAACAAAATTCTGTTCAAAAAGTTAAATAAAAAATAGCATAATTCTGACTCATATAAAAAGGTGCTCTCACTTATGGAAATCCTAGTGATCTACCATTGCTGAGAATTTAGGATCTTCATGAAAGTAGGAAGGCATCACTACTGACATTATCTAGCACGGTTATTGGAAAACTAACAAGATAGGTCTGGGGCCAAAATGACCATAGAATCTCCTTGAAACTCAGAGGTGTAGGTGAGGCAATGAAGTGAGGCCTACAGTGGCATCATGAACAGAAACAGTCACTGTGGGCTAAATTGAACTTAAATGAACCACCCTTTTTGTGTAAGCATGGAACTCTTATTTATTTAAGTCATTCCAGTTCCCAGAGCATTTCCACAGGCACCAGTCTACCCCTGGTCCTTTCTACCACTGGATCATTTTAAAGTTTCCTGTACTAGTGGAGTGGCATGTCCTGTAGAAAGAGGACAACAAGGAGACACAAAGGAAATGAATATTAAGTATTTCTGAGGAAATCAGATATCTCAATTCAAAAAAAAAAAAAAAAAAGGAATCTACTATATTGGAAAGCATTTTATTCATTCCTTTGATTACTGTCATACAGCTTCCAGAGCAGAATTTTACTAATTAGCATTACATATATGGTGCTTGCAAGAATGTCAGCTTGCAGGTTGCCCGTGTCAATAACTGTTTACTTCACCCGCATGTTATGTGGAAAAATTGGCTTTCAAATTTCTATAAGAAAATTAGTAATTTATTTGAGATTTATCTCTGAAAAAATGCTAGTCTCAATCTTGAATAATTAAATTATACCTTATTCTGCTTATTTAATACATAATGATGTTTTAAAGAATCCATAAATACACATAATCCTATATCACATTTAATAATCCACTGACATGCTTTCGGTCAGTCAAATTCTATGCAGTTCATTTGCAACACATGCTATCTTAATGCACTAATGTTTAAATCACATATCAGACACCCAGTGAAGTAATGAAAACTAAGGATCTCGCCATCTTCCTAAAGTACAGATCTTCCTTGCAAAATAAACCTTTGTTTATACAATATTGGTTACTACAATCGTTTATAGAGAACTATAATTGCATGTAGATATCATTTCTTCTGAAAGGAAATCCATATTTTTAAGAGACAGTACTTGCTGCCAAACAAGGACATAGGTAGAAGACAGACTATTCTTACTTGCATGATTTGGAGATCTTAGAAGAAGAAATTAATAAATTGCAAGTCATTGTGAAAATGTTAAGTCAATCTTATTTATATTATTTTTTATCCAAGTTTATAAAAGCACTTCTGATGAAACTGTATAAAATGGTGGCTATGGTTTTGGCTTTTGTTTTTCTTTGTGGGGGAGAGGGGAGATGACAAGGGGACCCTTTAAAAAAAAATGGAAAATATCCTTTGCTTTCCTATTCACCAGATTTTATTTTCACTGTTGCATAGCCCAGTCTCACACTCAGCATACTCAAGAATCATCACAAGACACTTCAGGCCATGTCACAGTGGAATAATAATAACCCTAAATCCCCATTCTGTATCCTGAATATGTAATCCTGAAAGAAAAAGGCACTAGCACAGTATGCTTAGCTCTGAGTTGAAATGATGCATGAAGACTCAGCATAAAGCGAAGAAAAGAGAATTGAGTAGTATCCAGACTGAGTGAATCACTGTTTAAATGATCCCATTTTCAGTATTACTAGAACATTCCTTGAACGTATCTCGTTCCCTTAATTCCTCACTCTGCTAAATTTCTATTATTTCAGTTAAATAATGCCCTAAGGAGTTTGCAAATTTCAAAAATTCACCTTGAATAACTTAAAGGCATTATAAAAAATATCATCCCCTACAGGGCTTCAAGCAGCAGATCGGTGTGAAGGAAAGCTTACGTATAGGATTTCTGCATATTATCAAATTGGATTCATTGTGTATTATGAGCAGGTTTTTGCAAATCATAAGATTTTAGTAAGTTATAGGATAAACACAGTTTCCATTAAATACAATGAAAAATTAATGACATCAGAACACAGTAAAAATGAAAGCCCATATAGTTTATATTCTATCACTTTGATAAAAATGTCATGGCTGCACAGATATTTCTTGAGGCCAAACACTGTTTCAGTAAAAGTCAGGCACAGTAACTGGTCCTCAGCATTTTTCATTTTCCTTCATTTATTACGATTCACTGCTAAAATCCAGGCTCTCTTAAACACCATGTAATCACTGTTACCAGTTTGATCTCAGGATTTCAAAATGAGATTTCTCTGGCTAATGTCATATCTATGCCATCCTCATAGATTTTCTTTCTATTAAAAAAATTGCTGTTAAAGACTCAAGCTGGACAGGAAGAGAATTTAATGTAGTACAATTATAGGACTTATGTTTACAATAATAACAATAATATATGGCTCAGGTGCATTCAGGTGAGAATTTTCCAGAGGAAGGAAAGACATACTTAAAAGCTTTGAGTAACTTATTATTATCTCTGACAGATGAAGTGTATAGTCCCTATCATAGGATGTGATAATGGTAATAGAATTATCACAGACCTGATAATTAACTAGAAGTACTGGACGTAAATCTTTCCCATATACCAAATTTCAGGTTTTGCACAAGCTTTTTCTGTAATAGCTTGCACTATGAGCACATCCCTTACAAACATTTTTTTTGTCATTATGTTTTTCTCAATATTTCCCAGAGGTACAAAAAAACTTAGATAACTTTTAAAGTATATGTCACTAATTATACTATTTTTAACTCTGTTTTATGAACAAATCTGTTTTCCATCTGCTTGTTTATCTAAAAATATTTTGTGCCTTTCATTATTTTACTTACAGATTAAGTGAAAAAAAAATTTGGAATTCCTCTAACATTTTCCAAAGTGTGGAATCTAATTCATTCTCAAGCACCATATTCATATTTCACAAGGGGAAAAAAAGAGAGATTCACAATTTCTTTGATACATTTAAGTGCACAGTATATTGATATTCTGAGTAGCCTTTGACTTTTAATTCATACATAGATCTTCTGCAGCAAAGAATAAATTCTATAGTGTCTTAAATTTTATAATTACCACCCTTGAGGCGCATACTTATTTAATGCAAAATAAAACATTCTATTTCTCCCAATCCATTGAAATCTTCACAGCTACTACTTTGCAGTCTCTCACAGGAATAACTCTGCATCATTTCTTTCCTTCCTAAACAACATAATATAGAAAAGCATTGCCTCTTTCTCCTGTTTTTGGTTTGTTTTCAATGTAAGTACATAAAACAGGAGTTCATAAATTCAAATACTGCATTTTTTCCCATTTAGATTGATATATACTAGCTAAACAAGGAAACATCTTAAACTACTTAAAACCATCTGTATGCTTCAGTGATCTTAAGGACCTAACACAAACTTTAAAGAAGTCCTTTCGGTAATCTTTTTAACAGATATGTAGCTATCACCACTACAGTTTATTTAACATAGAATCAAGCCATTTTGTGAAAGATTATATATGTGCCGATAAAAAGTATCCTGAAGTCTTCATACATATCTTTATTTTCTTTCTTCCTTGTGTATCTTTCTACCAAAACTGCAAGTACAAGTATACCTTTATATATATTTTTGGCTTTAAGTTTAAATTTGCCTCCTAGACAAAATAATCTTTCACATTCAAAATCAAGAAAAAAAAAGTCAATATTTGATGAAATAGAAAATTGCTTAAACACTTTAACCACACTAATAAAAAACCCAGCAAAAGATGTTTCATCTGTTCCAAAATAATACATATCAATAATACAGACTAGCTTTTCCATCAACAGAACAAGATTTAAAATCTTTGTAAAAGTCATCCTATATCAAAGACACTGAGAAATTACTAAATCTTACTTTACATATCTAAAATGCTGCAAATATGAACATTCAAGCAAAATTCATTCTAGTCTAGTATTTTATTATTTAATCTAATGTTGACAGGGGATTATTTGCCATGTCAAGAGATGCTGCTCAGTTGTATAATAGTGTCATTCAATATTATAATTCATGTTTATAAAGTTTCTGCTATTCAGAAAGATAATGTATGTCACTCCTTGAAACCCCTTTATTTCATTTCATCCATAACATAAATTTCTATTAATGTATATAGTCTGGTTTGTCTGTACTATTTTGACATTTTCTGCCCTAAAAAACATTTAAAATAATACAGAAAACATTCAAAATAATCCAAATAATCCAAACAAATGGCATTTCCCCTTTCCTACCATTAGGAATGATTTTGAAACTGCTAAATACTCTTTCTTATTTACTTTTTCTTCTTTATTTGCATGGAATGGAGAAGATTTTAATATAAAAGATATTAGTACTCAACACTGGTTAAATCACTGAGCCAGGAACAACAATGTTATAATGACAAATTTAGCATAAACAAGTGTAGTTATAAAAGTGCAGTCATTTTTGTTTAAGGTGAGGCACTTGTCACAAGGAACAGGAGATGTAGTCTAGCTCAGTTACCATGAAATATTGAACAGAATTCAGAATCAATACTGTAATAGAATCAAGCTATCCACCAAAAAGAATGTTCTGTTTTAAAAACAAAACTGGTTTACGCTTCCTTAAAAGGATCTGTGATCGATCAGTGGATATTTTAAGCAATCGAGTATTTCTTTCCATGTAGTCATTTAGTGGAAATGCCATCTAGATATTGCAATATACATTTTATGAGAAAAAAAGAGCCACTTACCTAAAACCCCCAGCCTGTAATTGAGGGTGACAACAATGACATTTCCGTAACTCGCGAGAATACTCCCATCAATCATGTTGCCAGTACCCTCCATGTAAGATCCACCATGGATATAGACCATAACTGGTTTCTTGCTGTTCTGATCATGAATGTCTGAAAAAATTGAAGTAAGGAAAACATAATAAAGTAATAAAAAAATGAAAAATGGCATTAGTTACATACAAAAATGCTAACAAAAATTCTTAATTATTTCCCATGTTATCCATTTCTCCACCAGCACTTTTAATCAGCTTGCCTGTGCAGTTCAGGATCATCTGCAAGCTTAACAGGCCTATTGGTTGAATATTTCTGCCTGTTATTTCACTCAAAATATTCTCAGAAAAATAGAAATGCCTTCAATATTATAAGGATTTTAATTTGAAAGTATACACAAGGTCTCAAGAGTAAAATCAGATCATGGAATAATCATTTTTAGAATATTCCTATTTATATATACGTGCATACCAATTTAGAAATATTGGTACATTTAACAATAAACTTACAATAATGATCTGCACATTCCTATCCCTCAATAAATGAGATATATCTGTTGAAATTGCATTTCCTATATTCAGTAACAGATAATATCACAAAACCAAATTGTTCTTTTCAAAAAATAAACATAGAAAATCATCCCTCTTTTAAAGCAGCCTAAGAGTTAACACAGAGAATTTAACTGAATTCATGGTCCAGACATATTTGAATCATGTAATGCCTTTTCTTTGGTGTTGTATTTTTTTCTCGTCAGTTGGGTGTTAGAGAAGTAGCCCTGAATCTAAGACCCTAAATTGCATGATTGGTCTTATATACATACAGAAAAGCTCTTTACTGCTTTCAAACAGATAAATAGCTGGGTGTTAATTTACAAAAGAAAAATAAATGAAATTGACGGTATATTTTCAGACTTCAGAGTGCATAAAGATGCAATTGTGTTAATATATCTTTTTTTCCCAATTATCAAAACAAAAACTGAGTTCTCTTCTGAGCAGCGAAAAAAAGGTTGGGGAAGAAAAGGTTGCACTAGATGGCTAGGAGACTTGAGTCTGAAAGCCTTACAAGAATCTTCCCTCTTCTCAGATTGGTTAGGAAACTCTGTGACCTACCAAAAGCCTGACCAGCAATGAAACAAAATCTCCTATATTTATTTCTAAAAAATGTAATATTTTACACAGAGAACTACTTAAATGTTACTTAAAAGTAAATTGCACATGACCATACTGCATGGCCCACTTTCTACATTCCTCATATTGTATGTACCTTACTAATTATACCCAACTGGATGCAAGAAAAATATGATCAAACTCTAAATCCACATCTATTTCTCAAGAATCTGAGGCTTCTCATAGAAGTATTCTTTTATTTTCTTTTTTTCATAAAAATACACATATTTTACTTGTACTGTATATGTACACATTGTGCTGCACATATTGTTACATTCTCTGTATTTTCAACAAAGCACATGAGAAAAAGTGTTTGCTGCTTTCTGTGAAAGTGTAGTGAAGACCTTAAAAGATGCAAGCAACAATTACTAATGTTACAGAAAGATCTTTTCCTTCAAAAGCCTTATGGCATGATCTGTTGTATTTAATCTTTCCTTATTACATAGTTCTATTTCAGAGCTCAATCTTTCAGTGCTGCAGTCTATGTGAGGTTTCCTTTTTGCATTCAACAGGAACATGATTAGCTTCAATAACAGAAATGAGCTCCATTCTTTATGGATGCCCTTGCTAATCATCAAATTCTAACATGTTATAATTTTGGAAAAAGAATGAATAATGATGTATTCATAATATTGTACCTATGTTAGTTTTTTTTTAAGAAATCTTGGGTTTGTTTTTTACTTATATTTTGCCTAACAATTAATGACAGGAGTTGGTATAGCAAATGTTGATATCAGAATTTGAAAAAAAAAAAAAAAAAGTGTTTCACAGATGCAGAAAAAAAATAGTGATATTCAGGTAATAGCAGGGTCACTTTGGAGAACTATTCACTAGTGTTCCCTGTGTTATAAGAAAAATAAGAAATAGTGTGCTTCAACAATGAAGGTGATATAGTAGAGGGCAAACAGTGTGAATAAAAGATTAAAAGATAACTCCACTACTGTATACATGATTCTAAGGGGAATAGAGAGGACAAATGTTTGAAAGTTATTTGAACTGATGTCAGATAAAAGAAAGCAGAACAAGTGCATGGAATAACACTTGGGATTGGTCAAGCATGAGAGGAAGAAGGGATACATATCTCCATAAATGGAACAATAAATGGGCCCAAATTGTTAGCTATTCAATTACTTTGAAAATATTTTTCTGAATTTGATAATAATATTAAATGAACTGTCCATGTAATTTTAATGCAATGGAAGGGTGAGATGAGAGGAAGATTTCATAGCTTCTTTCAATTTCAGTGCACTCTAAATAGCTTGCTGTTCAAAGGCAAGAAAAGAAGTATTTCCTTGTAAAACTTTTTCTGGGTACTTCACTCTGAACTTTATAATTTCCTTTCAGGGAATCCAATCCAGCTCTGAAGTAAGTCAATGAAAAAGATTGTAATTGATTTCAGTGGGAACCTGGTCAAAGCCAAAATGAATGTGTATCAGAGGATAGCTGATTATAGGAAAAAACAATAAAGCAACATCAACAGGTTTCTTTACTTTTGTGTCCTTGAAATAAACACATCCTGTGATAAATAAATATATATAAATATATATAAAAATGCCACAAATAAAGCACAATGCAATTGCATCCAACATTGATTATGTGCACAGGGAAAAGAGTGGAAGTGAAAGGAAGGATACACGTGAGTTATTTCATGAATTTCAAACAGGGGAATTTACAATATGTACAAGAGGGAAAAGAGCACATGCATGTTTCAAACTCCTTTTCTCATCCTAAGCAAGAATAAGGGTGAAAAAGCATGTGATTGTAAATAATATTTTACTACTCACTTCACACATATGGGATAACTTTTACACTTATGTCACAGAGAAATTGCAGTCATCTATATGTTAATTTGGATTTAAAAAAGAAGAACAAAGTAGTTTCTAGACAAGAAGAAAATAAAGAAGCGCTCAAGTGCGCCTTTGCAAATAAGGGACTAAAAATCACGTTGAAATAACAGCAATAACAATGGTAATAGTAATAATAATAATAATAAAAAAGTTTATGTTCATGCATCAGGGTTGAGCTTTGAAAAAACAAAAAATACCTTCATCTTCACCACGATCATTACTGGTTATATCATCTGCGCTTTTCTTTGTGTTGGCTCCTGGGGTCAGAATGAGGAGGAGAATAAAGGGAAAAAGAGAATTCAAAAACAGCAGATTCTCAAAAATAATAATAAAAAAAACACTAGCCGAAAAAAAAGAAAAATGTAACAAAAATGTCAAAATCTGTTACATTTGAAATTGAAAAACAAAAAAGATGCAAACTGCACATAAACATAAAATGTCAAGAACAAATTGAAAATACTTGAAAAAATGTATCATATTCTGTGACAATGCAGTTATTTCAGTTGAAAGTGATTACTGCAAAAACAAAATTAATGTGCTATTGAAAAAGAATAATATAAACAAAAAACTGTATTTAAAAATCCACCAAATTATTGTTGAATAAATTATTGCATAAGAAATGCAATTGATTTATTCCATTCTGTAATTCCATTCTGTAACTTTGAAGAAATAATGCCTTTAGTCACTATTATCACATCTTTCACATCTTACTCATCCCAATGAGTATGATTTCACATCTTATTCATCCCAATTAGGATGTATTAACTATTAGCCACAAATTGAATTTAAAATGGAACCAGTACAAATAAAATTATCACTGAGTCTTATTTAACTTAAAAGGATCAAGAAAATCCAGGTAGCACTCCTTTTAATCTTGTTTCCTGTATAAGCAAAAAGACATTTAAAACATCGAATTGAAAATAAAAGAGAAAATAGGGTTGAGTCAATCCCAAATATGAAATTGGTCCAAAAGTAGCTCTGTTCATATTATATCACATTTCATGCTCTTAAAAAATCTAGAAATTGAAAACTTACTTACCAAGATAATGAATATTCATTTACTGTATTTTTCATATTTAATAAAGAATAAATACTAATTTATAATCAGTGTATTTCTCAAAATACTTTTTATGTATACACACGCATATATGTATGCCACATGTATGCGTGTGTATACATACACACATACACACACACACATATACTATACCCTGTGCCTACAGAAGCAAAATAAACCATAGTAGAATACTTTTTTCACCACACTTCTCTTTGGTAACAAATCTGTCTTTTGACTAAAGAAAAATGCCACTGAACTATCTATCTATCTATCTATCTATCTATCTATCTATCTATCTATCTATCTATCTATCTATCACATCAGATGTTACATTTTATTGTGCTTACTCTTGTGCCAAGTGGTCCTCTGCAGTATAAAAAATATACATATATACATAAATATATGAGTGAAATATGGATTAGAAAATCATATCTAAGTTAATTTAGAGCTGAAACTTGGCTGCTAAACAAATAACATGGTCTAAAGCGTTTTCCATCCAGACTGAAAAAAAAAATATATTAAATTTATTAACTACAAACTTTGTGTTTGTATATGAAAGATGAATGTGTCACAGAAAAAATCAATACCACAACCTACTATTAAAAATCTCTAAATTATGGGCTATGTTATTCTAAAGGTTCATCATTTGACATCCCCCTTTCCTGTGAAAGACAAAGGGGAAATCCTTCTGGTTTGATTGAACTCAAACCTTTTACATGGTTACAGAAGACACTAGTTTGTACTAAATATTTTCAAGTCTTCAGAAACTTAGATTTTCTTGGTATGGAGGGTATTCACTTTATTTTATTTTCATTTACCAATACAGTTGACCAATAAACTTAGTGTCCTGTGGTCTTACAGTAAGTTTAATCTTCTTACTTTGGGAAGAATGGAAAGCTCTATATCTGCATTTAGTTAAAGATTTATTTTATGTTTTTCTTTTACTGTTCTTTTTAAAATATCACTATCCCCTGAAAATTCAAGGTCCAAAAAAAGCAACTAAAAATAAAACAGAATATGCTTAATTGTTGTTAAAGTACTAAACACTTGTTAATATACATGGTTTTAGGTTTATGTTCTGTTTGCCAACTTGCTTTATACAGCCTTCTTGATACAGATAGAATGGGATTTTTTATAGAAGTTTTCTTGAACCACTACCAAAATATCATATATGCTGGCTGAAACATGAAACTAGACAAACCGAATTATAGTGAAGAACATTATTTTCTCATAAACTGAATGCTCTGAGGCTGATTAGTCAGTCAAATGTGTGGATGAAATTCTATCTTCACACAAACCCTGTATCTTTGATTCAGTTGCACATATATTCGTATACGTAGTACATGAGTGAGTTCAGTTTTATCTGGGGTGTATATATTCAATACATAATTAACTAAGTGAAATTTAACAGACTGTGAAACATGGCTAATCAATTTTGTTAAAAAATGTCAGATGCGGAATCTAAATTTCTCTCATCATTTAAATTTGCATTTTTTTCTTAATTTTACACATAGTTTTTAGTCCAAATAAGGTAGAACCTTCTCTAGAAGTTCTATCTAAATAATATTAACTTTGAAGTCAGATATAACAGTTACTCCATTTGTATAATGTTATTATTTTCAAACCTTGTAAAAAAAAGAAATAAAAAAACAACTAATAATACAATACAATACAAATAATACAACTAATAAACAACTAATATACAATAAATGTACAAGGTTGTAAACATATAACACAAGAAATGCTGATATCAGTTCCTCCAGTAAGATATTCTTCTAATTACTTGATAAAACAATGATGATTCATGTCAAATATAAATCAGCTACGATACGTGAAAAGAAAGTGGTCTTGTACCATCTTTATGGATTAAAACCCATATGATCCCATAATCAGAGTGACAGCAAATAATATAGGTCAAATTATTTAGACTGTAGTCCATTTTTAAGAATTGGAGTGTAAGAAGGAAGTATGGCCCACTGTTTCAGTTCCAGATACTATCTGAAACAGAAAGAAGAATTATCAAAATACATCAGTGAGATATTTTTCTCTTTAATGTAGTGCTTCCTAGAATTATTCTAGGAATAGAAAAGGAAAAAGGAAAAAGGAAAAAGGAAAAAGGAAAAAGGAAAAAGGAAAAAGGAAAAAGGAAAAAGGAAAAAGGAAAAAGGAAAAAGGAGAGGAGAGGAGAGGAAAAGGAAAAAGGAAAAAGGAAAAAGGAAAAAGGAAAAAGGAAAAAGGAAAAAGGAAAAAGGAAAAAGGAAAAAGGAAAAAGGAAAAAGGAAAAAGGAAAAAGGAAAAAGGAAAAAGGAAAAAGGAAAAAGGAAAAAGGAAAAAGGAGAGGAGAGGAGAGGAGAAAGGAAAGGAAAGGAAAGGAAAGGAAAGGAAAGGAAAGGAAAGGAAAGGAAAGGAAAGGAAAGGAAAGGAAAGGAAAGGAAAGGAAAGGAAAGGAAAGGAAAGGAAAGGAAAGGAAAGGAAAGGAAAGGAAAGGAAAGGAAAGGAAAGGAAAGGAAAGGAAAGGAAAGGAAAGGAAAGGAAAGGAAAGGAAAGGAAAGGAAAGGGGAAAGGAAAGGAAAGGAAAGGAAAGGAAAGGAAAGGAAAGGAAAGGAAAGGAAAGGAAAGGAAAGGAAAGGAAAGGAAAGGAAAGGAAAGGAAAGGAAAGGAAAGGAGAAAAAAGTAAAATCTATCCACTGAGTTGGCACACTATCCATCTAAGAATAGCCTAAGGTCGCACTTCAAAACCTTAATCTAAGGAGACAGAATGGGAACTCGAACCAGAGTCTCGCACGGCTCAGGGGAGCTCTCTACCTGTATAGACAGCTTGTTCCACAGATCAATGCTTTATTCTCCTTTAGGGTTTCTTTTGAGGGCTTGGGGATTGAGGCATTTTTCTTTTCCATATAAATAAAAGGAACAGAAACAGTAACTTTAGCCTTGGATTCCCACATGCCAAGTGAACATTAACACTGTGTTACAGGATCAACCCCTCTGTAAACTAACAAGTCTTTAACCATTCATCCAGCATGAAATAGAGAGCCATCTTAACAGCCATCCTGGCACTGGTGGTAGAGTGGAGAATGGAGCAGACTGCAACTGTGGTCAAGAGCATTACAGACTCACTTTCAGAAATATCTGCTATTGACCAATCTAGGTCTGGATATCGGAGTTTTCAATTTGAAAGATTTGTGCTTCAAGTTGATGCAGATGAAAAGTACCAAGGAAAAATATTTCAAAATATTAGCAGGATGGAAAAATATTTTTCATCTTGATCAAGATACAGGAATTATTTCATCATATATATTAAATATGCTGTACATACTGTAGATCTATTGAGGATTGCATTTCTATAAAAGTTTATGTTTTGGTTAAGTTCTAAGAGTCTATAATGTTAATAATGACTGTGCTGTGACTTCAGATTCCATGTACCATGTCGCCATGTACTGGGTGACCTCCTGACACTTGTCCTACAATTTCCTTCACTACTGAATGATGCTAAAAGGCATAGCATAATTACTCACTGAACTGTCAAACCTATTTTGTAAAGGAATTTTACTTGTCACAAAATGTTTCCTATTTTTCAGAATGTGCTTCTATATTGCAATAGAATGTACTTCTATATTACAGGTAGGAATTCCTACAGAAACATGTAGGAATGTAGCATGAGAGCCATTCCTATACTAGTGCCAGCCAGTCTACCATAATAGAGCAAGATTTAATTTGGGCTATTATTTTCTTCCTAAGAAGCTCTATGTGCCATGTAATTTCAGGGTTTCATTCAGTAAGTATCTCTCTTTAGAAAGATTCTCACTTTAAAAATGCTGATCTAATTCACTTAAAAAAAAAATCACTTAATTTCACTTAGTTCTGGCTGCAAATTCATCCTGCACTCCCACATTCATTCTGTCTGGGTTCCACATAGAAATCCATAACAAATGAAGTCACCCCACTGTCAGTCAGTCTACTGCATCTACTCTCTCACAATCTCCCTTTGATTATGAAAAAAATCTCATTCAGAAACACATTTGCTGTGGCTCCAGGTCATATTGCAGACATATTCATAATTTGTGCTAAATCTTTCTCTCATATCATCAAATATGATCAAATATATCAAATATATCATATATATGCAAGGCAGGTAAGTCCTCTGCATTCAGTTTACTGGTATTTGCCTTTTAGGAATCCATTCTGCATCCTTCAATGGAA